CAAACCCCGCCCTCCCCTATCCTGCAATGTTAAGGTCCCCCAATGTCCCCACAGCTTCCGCGGCGACTGATCCAATTCCACCAAATCTGACCTCTCCTCAGCTACCCAGAATTTTGTGGGGGTTGAGGAAACAACACCCGAATTATTTATGCCAAATAGAACCCTATCTTCTCCTCATTACTAAAATTCGCAACTCTTTTTGCCAAATTCTTTACGAGGAAGGCGAGTGAGTAAGCTTCCAATGAAAATAATTTATACTTATTTTTTCTTACACACGCCCCACTTTTGCAAATTGTACAAGTCCAATCTATTCCTTTTCATCTGCTTTCTCTCCTCATTAGATTTGTCGCCGTGTTTTCTTGTACTTTCTCCCAAAGAAACCATTCATTTTCGATAAAAAAGACGCCCATGCATGCACCACCCACGCGAAATTATTGCACGGTTAGATTTTTCGGGCAAATTATGTACATTTTTTTCTACACCTTGTTGCATAAACTGGGAATGAATGAACTCGTAGAAGTGTTTCGTTTTTTGCAGATTTACTACATCCTTTGGAGTGGAAAGCAAGAAATGCGCGAAATTCGAGGTGCAAGAAACGGTGAGAAAGTGAAAGAAATGAGAGCCATCTAGCTACGCGCTGTATGAAATATATCGGCGGGAAGTAGTTTTTTGCACCGTGCATTTATTGCGTCAAACTACCCTTCATCCATTGGAATTTGAGCCATGGCTAAATACTGAGCAATGTTAAAAACAGGGGTTTCTTGCGGAGCTAGATTTTGTCATGGGTCAAACTTATGTACATGGATGAAGCGTATTTAACTGCATGAAATCTATTTCTTGCACGTGGTTATTTGCATTGCAAATTTTTCACCCGAAAAACTAATAAAAATTATCAAAATTCGGGGGAAAACGAGATAAAATTTGGTAAATTGATCCCGTTTGTAATTCTATAAGTCTACTATTTTATCTAGTTAATTAATTGGTATAACTTTTACTTCGATAATTCAAGAAATTCTTGAATTCTTGCTCGACACCATTCTGGTGTCGAGCTTGGGAACATAATTTCGCTAAATAAATACAATTTAAGTTTAAAAACAATACAATTTAATACAATAAACAATACAATTTAAGTTTATAAATTTAAGTTGGAATGATTCCAAATTCTGATATTTCAAGGTTGGATCGTCGTTGTCGTCGCGTTAAATTTTGAAAAAGTGTTTCGTTTCTTGCAGGTTTACTACATTTCTTGCACTGCAAAGCAAGAAACGGGAGAAATGCGAGGTGCAAGAAACTGGGAGAAAGTGCGGGAAATAAGCGCCATCAAGCCAAACCTGTACAAAAATTCAGTTTTCATTCAAATTCAGTCATCCCGATTTCAGACTGAAGATGTTCATTCATATTCAGTCATTTTCTTTCAATCATTTCACTTCATCGGACTTCGTTTGTTACTTTGCCCCATGTATTAAACATGGGGTGAAAAACGAAAGAAGCTGACAATCCTTTTATTCACAATCATTCATCTGAAATGGCGGAACCCTTCATTCATTTTCATTCAATAACATTCACTATCATAATCAGTCAAATGAATGAAGGTGAACAGGTACGCATCAAGCCACGCGCCGGAATCTACCTGCAAGAAACCACTTTCTCCCCGTTATTTCTAACATGTGGTTTCCTCTACCTGAAACACTGACTCTTGAATAAGACCAAGGTACAAAGTTTTGCAGGGGTGCTCAGATTAATAAATTATTTACGGGTAGCTTTTGCACAACTCGACTTTTATAGCGAGTTCTGTGTAGGTAAGCTCAAAATACCGATTATGTAACAAAATGCTGCCGCTTGTGCTGAATAGTGATCACTTTTGTATCGAAAAGTTATGTAATCTAGAGAAAGTGAGTGAATGAAACCTTGTAAATTGCTTCCTGATTCTACCCAATTTTCAATTCCTACTTTCACAAAGTCAGTTTGCAAAGTTATGTACGAGTAAATTACTAAATTGCATACGTATAGCTTCTCCCACGACGAAATGACAATAATCAGGACGAGATTGACTGGTGCAGGTGTGGGCAAAGTATTTCGTGGAAATACAATATTTTGAGCTAGGTTTTTCCCAGGGATTGGATTTCCCAAGGGCTTTTACACCCACAACAAGACGAAAATCTACGTGAAGAAGGCAACAGTCGTACGAAAATACGGGGTTTGTGAAGAAATTAATTTTTTATCGTGGTCGAAATACTTTAATTTTAGAAAAATCGTGAAAAGAAAGTATTTTGAAAAACGGAGCTCAAAAATACTGTATTTTGACAAAATGTGTAGCTGCATTCAGAGCTTATTTCATGTACTTTCTCCCAGTTTCTTGTATTTTCTCTCTTGTACTTTTGCAGTTTTTTTCAGTTTTTTGCACTTTCTTGTATTGTCTTGCAGTTTTTCTTGCAGTTTTTTTGCAGTTTTTTGCAAAAAATGTAGCAAACCCGCAAGAAACGTAACACTCAAAATCTTATGAAAATTTATTGATTCAGAAGTTCAAAACTTATCCAGTGTTTTAGGTCAAAGTAATCACTTGCAAAAAATAACATGAATTTTCTTTTACCCTGTAAAGTATTTTGCCCATCGCTGAAAATTCGACTCAAAATTGTGTACCCAAAACTAGCTCTCAAACAATTTGCATACTTATACTTATTACAGGACTCTGAGTATCCCTTTTACTCCGCCGACGACGACATGTTACGTATACGTCGTCCTATTGTTTACACAAAGTAAATTGAAATGGAAAGCAAACAGAAGGGAAACTAGTTTCAAACAAGCCTCCAGCACTTGAAGCACGAGTTGATGGAGTGCCGTGTAAACAGGCGGAATTCGTCCAAATTTTGTCAATGGATATAAATCAATGTAAATAATTTCAATGAAAATTATAGAAAGCGAGTAGACTGATAGTCTGATTAGATGAGGATAAAATAAAATATGGCTATTTTAAGACATTTGTAAAATTTTGTGGGATTTTTTTAGTATAAATTTGATTTTACTGTTTCGTTTCTTGTGGATTTTCTATATTTCTTGTACTGAAAAAGGAGGAAATGCAAGAAGTGCGAGGTGCAAGAAACTGGGAGAAAGTGCAAGAAATATGCGCCATCTAGCCACGCGCCGTATGAAGTATTTATACCGGCGGGATTTAGTTTCTTGTGCCTTGCATTTCTTGCAGGTCAAAATATTTACCTGCAAAAAACCACTTTCTTCCCCTTATTTCTTGCAAGTGGTTACTTACTTTCACCCGAAACCTAGATTCGTAATGTGATGAAAATTCGGAGAAATATTTCTCAAAAGGAAACATTGAAGTGATCACAAATTATGCTGACTCTGAATAATGCAGTAACAAAAATGACCTAATTCTGTACGAAATTCAAATTTATTACCATTTAGTATTTACGAAATTAAGCCCAGAAATTATGGGCCAGAATTGATAGAAAATCTGAGATGTGCAGATAGCAGGAGACTTTTATGAAACAAATTGTTACCAACTCGGTAGTAATTTTGTCACCGTATTATTTCAAGTGCTCGAGAGTCAACTTTTTCTCCCCACTTTTACAAATATTTCACCCTAGAGAATCTGCAATTAGTTTGTTCAAGATGCGGCTTCTCAGGAAAAAAAGTGTCCTGATTGAGAAAACTTTTTTCAGAAATTTTGTCCAAAATAGCGCAATTCCCGAGTCTCGTTATTATGTATTTTCGCATAAATGGGCTGGCAATACAGATATTCAACCAGCCAACTTTTTTACTTTTATATGGCTTTCTTTCACTCACTTTACGTAACATTGTTCCATTGTGTTACTAAATTCGGAATCTGTAAGTAAAAACATGTTTTTTGGGCATGTTTTTCTTCGTCCCAACTTTTTTAATTCAGGAATGAAAATGAGAGACCTTTCACATCAAACTTGATTTGGATCTTATCAACGATAAGATCCTATTCCTACATAAATTAATTTATTTTCAGAGTTAGCTCGAGTGGGGCTTCTTTATGTTATGTAACTGTGATTTCGGTCCTATTAAGGATTGTATTTTAGTGTAATTTTTGAAATTTTGGATTCTTGAAATTTTGGATTTTTGGTAAAATTAAATACTCACGACATTTGAAACGTCATTTCGGTCCTGTAAGGATTGTGTATTGTGATGTGAAATTTTGATTTTAGAAATTTAGAAATTTGGCTAAACGTACAAATTTTATTGATCAGGTTTGATTTCTAAGCCGATTTTAATTTATTCATTTGACGTTAATTTATACAGTTCACACAGGTTCGTTCCCATCGAGTGCAATGTAAGATTTTCCACAAAAAATATTTTTCCGAAAGAAAACTTCTGTTTTAAAAATTCCAAATATACAATATTTTTCGGAAATATATAAATGTCCAATTTGTCGGCCAGTTTTACATTTTTTTACTTCTACGAAATATCATACGCTTAAAACAGATGTGTACATGTAATTAATTATCATTGAATATATTTTCCTAAGGAAAAATATTTCTACAAAAAAATCTCGTTTATTAAAAAAAATCTAAACACGCAATATTTTCGGAAACATACATTTCCAGTTTATCAGACAATTCAATTTTTCTTTTCGTGCCATATAACCTACGCTTAGAACAGATTTGTAAAATAGTTTAGTAGTTTGACATTGTACGTATTTTCCCCCAAGGAAAAATATTTCTTGAAAAAGAATTTTTCTCATTAAAAAAATTCTTAATGCGAAATATTTATCGGAAACGTACATGTCAAATTTATGAGTCAGTTCTAATTTTTTGATTTCTACGCCTTCTATCCTGCCATTAAAGCAGATATGTCAGCCAGTTTTATTTTTTGGAATTACATTTTCCAAAAAAAATAATTTCTACAAAAAAAATCTCCAGATCAATGATCTCAATGATCACAAATTATGACGAACTTTAAATATTATTATGCGATGTAATAGTGAAAATGCAATAATTAGATGCAAAATTTATATTTCGTACCATTTAAGTAGTAAGAAAATGAATTGAGTCCAGCTTGAGTCTCAAAAACTTCACCTGTAATAAATAAATAAATTTATGATCAAAATATTTCCCAGAATCATTTATCGCATTGAAATCTTGCAAAAAATGATGTCAAGTTTCTACCAAACTGACAGCACAAGTAGACTTTCCACGTATTCATTCAAACTTTAGCACACATTTAAAAAAACTGTAAACTTTTGAATAAGCACAAATATGTACTCCAGTCCACCTCTACTAAAAATCACTAAAAATGACCTAGTTTAAAAAATTTTAGTCTAAAAAATTCTAGATATGCATATGTACATACAATTATTCTCGGAAACATGTCCAATTTTTTAGCCAGTTCTAATTTTTATTATTGTTTCAAAACCTTGTGTTACACTTAAAATAGATGTATACATGAGATTGGTCACCATTGTAGTTTTCCTGATAAAAAATATGTCTGCAAAAAATCTCCAAATTTACTCTCTCGTTAAACTTTATACCAGTGTCAGTAATAAATAAGTAAATTAATTAATGATCAAAATCATTTCCCAGAATAATTTGTCATATTGAAATCTTTCACAAAATCAGTATTTCGAATGGAACGAAGTAACCACTTGCAAGAAATAACGGGAAGAAAGTGGTTTCTTGCAGGTAAATATTTTGACCTGGGAGAAATGCACGGTGCAAGAAACTACGCTGTAAATATTTCATCCATTTTTCTGTGGGTGATGATTTCCATTTTTCTTTTAGTGTGATTTTCATTTTTGCACGGGAAAAATACATCTTTAAAACTAGTTGGCTCTCTAAATATGCTAAATTTACATAATTGACATCAAATCTGGACAAAAAACATTACTCGAATAAATTCATTCACAGTTTTTATATCCCATGAAATTTACTTTTTTTATTGAGCTAGATGGCTCACGTTTCTTGCACTTGCTCACAGTTTTTTGCACCTCGAATTTCTTGCGTTTCTTCCTTTGCAGTGCAAGAAATGGGACGAAACGTTGTTCAAAATCATGCCAAGGTTTCACCAAACTACGCAGTAAATATTCATCCCGACATCAGAAAGGACATATTCCACGTACTCAAACTTTAGCTAGCGCCCACTTAAAAAAACCTGTCAACTTTTGAATAAGCAGAAATACTCCACATCAGTAAAAATCACCTCTTTGCTTATTCATTCAACTGCACACACAAAGTGTGAAAGTGGGTCGCTTTACAAAATTAAATTGACACATTTTCCACCTGTGACTGCACAATTTCAAAGCGAAAAAAATAGCCTGACAAACAAATAAATCATAGGAAACGAAATGTGGCAAAAGGGTGAAACCAGTAAGTTCCCCCCAAAAATGTGTGACCACTGACCGCTGACCGAGGGGGGAGTAGTCGGATTGACCCCAAAAGTTGGCAAGATTGTCCCCTGCATACCTGTTCACTTTCATTCATGTGAGTGATTATGATGGTGAGTCATAGTGAATGAAAATGAATTTCCTGTGATTTGAATGAAAATGATTGAAGGATTCCGTCATTTTAGATGAATGACTGTGAATGAAAGGATTTCTCACTCATTTGATTTTTCACCCTATGCTGAATACATGGGGCGAAGTAAGAAATGAAGTCCGATGAAGTGAAATGAAATAAAATTGAAAGACAATGACTGACTTTTGAATAAAAACTAAATTTTTGAACAGGTATGCCCCCCTGAAGTCATAAATCCATCACGATCTATCCATCCGATTTCCAATATGCAAATTGGGCAAGGGAGAGGAAAAAAATGTCAAAAAATGGAGTGGGACGAGTGAAATGTGGGATTTAGAAGTGTGACTGGATGAATTTATTCGAGTAACATTTTTGTATAGGTTAGATGTCAATTGTGTAAATTTAACATGTTTAGAGAGCTAAATAATTCTAATAGTCACATTTTCAGTGTAAAAAAATGAAATGAAAATCACGCCCAAAAATTGAATTTATTCGAGTAACATTTTTGTCCAAATTTGATGTCAATTAAGTAAATTTAGCATATTTAGATAGTTTAATAACTTTAAGATGTATCCTTACCGTACAAAAAATGAAAACCACAAAAAGGAAAATCACACATGAAAATAATTTTGGATTTTTCGAAATAGGTAATATCATTTTTAACTGAAGAAAAAGTAAATTTCATTGGATTCAAAAGTTAAGATGAATTTAATTGAGTAACATTTTTGTATTGGTTTGATGTCAATTGTGTAAATTTAGCGTATTTAGAGAGCTAAATACACCAAGATTTCCATCCTCAGTTTAGAAAATGAAAATCCAAAAAAATTGCATTTTTCGAAATAAGTGTCATTTCTCATTCAATAAACAGCAAATTTCATTGGATTTAAAAAGTGTGGATTTTATGTTTTCAAGTAACATTTTTGTATAGGTTTGATGTCAATTGTGTAAATTTAGCATGTGTAGAGAGCTAAGTTATCTAAGATCAGTATTAATTGAGTTTTCCGCTAAAAATGAAAACTTCACCCAAAAAAATGAAAATCGCACCAAAAAATTTGGATTTTTCGAAATAAGTATAATTTCTCACTTAATAAAAAGTAAATTTCATTGGTTAAAAAGTGTGAATGAATTTTATTCGAGCAACATTTTTGTCCAGGTTTGATGTTAATTGTTCAAAAATATAGAATATTTCGAATCCGAAATAATTTAAGATCGATGTTTTCTTCTGCTCAAAACGATACTTACTTACATCCAGAAATTTTGATTTTCCGACAGAATCTTTGAAAAATTTACCCTTGTTACAGTTTAAAGCCAAATATGATTTTTCCCAAGGTAATGCAAAATTGCAAAAGAAATTATAGATGCGAATCTGATTGATTCGTTTTTTGGACAATTCTAAAAAAAATTGATACGCTCAACTTATAATTTCTTCATTTATAAAAATTTAAAAAAAACTTACCTAAAAATATTTAAACTTAAGGGTCTATTACATACGGGTTTTGAATTTCAATTTTTTTTGTCTCAACTTTCCCTTCTGCCATGTATTCAAATGATGATTTTGAAATGTGTTCATATCCTTGCGTTTTACAAAAAATGAAGACTATTGCATTGAAAAAGCGGTATTTTTTAGCGAAATTTGATAATATATTTTTTTTTTTACACATTATGAATTTTATGCAGGTTTCATGTTTATTATCGATGACGTGAATTGATTAAATTTATAAAGTTTAGTTACAGTTTAAAGCCAAACATGATTATTCAAAAAATTAATTCTGAATTGCATAGAATATAGATATTTCGCTTCTGTTTTGCAGTTTTCTTTTGTATGTGTTCTTAAAATGGTTAAAATAGTTTCCTAATTTTGAAAAAAATTGATACACTCAACTTTTGGATGAAAAAATTTAGAAAAACTTACCCAATTTCATTTATACTTTGATTACGCCAAGATTAACAATATATTTTTTTGCAAAGTATAAATTTTTCATTTTATGATTTGACTTCGATATTTGTTGAAAATTTGCAGTAAATTTACCATTGTCAATAATTAACAACTCATATTTTTCCCCCAATTATTATAAGTCCATCATAAATTTTATGCAGGTTTCGTATTTTGAATGTACATGTTTTTTTAATAAATTCAGAAAATTTAAGCTAACTTTAGTGTCTTGTTTAAATTTGAATATGTATGTGTAAACCAAAACACATAGACATATTATCTGCCTTCGTAATATAGTTTTTTTATATACGGTATTTACAATATTTTTTCTAGAATCAATATATCCCAATAAAAAAGAAACTGAACATGATATGCTAAACTTTTCCATAAAAAATATGGTGCTCATTCGTTTACATTGATGGTGATGATGCAAGAGCCCACTTTACAAGTCCTTTCTCCGTTTTATTTATCAGACTTGGCCATCTTGCCCGATAATAACTTTCTTTTCAGAGAAATAGCTAGCCCACCATGCATGCGGACAAACTGTTGAAATTTGAAACTTGAAATTTTAATTGGTTGCCATTACGTGCAATTATGAAATCAACACCGTACTGAAGGAAAAGTTTATTACAAAATTATTTAGTAGTACGCTAGAGGTTAATAAAATGACAAAAATGACAAGTCGTGCATCAAAACCGGTATAAAATTTATGATTTGTTAAAAAATGATGTGTTCTTAATTTTTGCGAATAGTTCTGTAGTTTTTCAACTTAAAAATCGAATTTGAACAGGATACGCTAAACTTTTACATAAAAAAATATGGTATTCATTCGTTTACATTGATGGTGATGATGCAAGAGCCCAATTTACAAGTCCATTCTCCGTTTTATCAGAGTTGGCCATCTTGCCAGATAATAACTTTCTTTTCAGAGAAATAGCCCACCATGCAGACAAGCTATTTCTAACTTATCTTTTATGCCCATCGTACACATATGTATGTATATCGCTTATCTTGGTCATGTGGGAATAACAAATTGAAAACCTCTCCATTTTCACATATTTTTACTTATATAAACGATGGAATGATAAGGTGTTCAAAAACGAGGGTGAAAAATAAGCGTAAATACATATACGCTCACAATAAATATGTTAGTTGGTAACAAAATTATTACCACGTGTAGCCATTGCACCACGTCAGTAAAGATTTGTCACCTAAAATTTCTGCGGAGTTCGGGTTACAAATTGATCTAAAACATGATAACAAATTTTTTGTTGATTCTGCTGGAAATTATTTGGTAGTAAGTAAGTCTTTACCAGCGATCATTTCTGGCTTTGTAACGCAGGTAACGATTTGTCACCGAATGGTAACCAAAAAATTTGTGCGGAACTCAAAAATACTTTCTGGTTAGAAATTGATTAAGAACGTGGAAACAATTTCGACTCTCGTGGAAATTATTTGGTGATAAATCTTTATCGGTAATAAACCCTCACACGCGGTGACAATTTTGTTGTAGACTTATTTTAAGAAAAACTTTTACAGAACCCAAATTTAAACTTTTCCTGTTAGAAATTGATTGGTAGAAATTTCTTATTTCCTAGAAATTATTTGGTGATAAATCTTTACCAACGTTGTG